AAAATGAGCTGCCCCCCAAAAGAGTGCCCCTCCAGAAAAAAAAACAAGCCCTTGAGTTCCCAATAACGCCACTAGCGCCTAGTCACCATACAACTCGTTGCACTAGGCTTAGGCCACAGCACCCCTATTAGACTAATCCTCTGAAAACCCACCTTTTTTCGCCTCATATCTCAATTTGCATCGGGTCAACATCACCTTGTATTAGCCCCTTGCAATTTTCAAAACATGATATGATGTAATCTAAAGCAAAGCTCAATCGTCTTATAACCAATGTCCCAGAATAAGTACAATAATGTGTATTAGATTCATTATACTCAAGTCATAGCACGAAACGCACTTCGATATAAAGCTACGCAGCCTATTAAAATCCTTTTTAAATTATTATGGATACATTTATATTGGAAATAAAATATGTTCACCAACATGTAAATACTGATTGTATATATAAATTCAATTAAAATCTTATTAATGATCGGTAACTAGTATCGTGAGTTCTCTGCTGTTAGTTTGTCGGATTTTTGCAGGCAAGATGGGACGACATTGGTGAGAAAGCATGAGTAACCACGAGATATTGCGATAGATTGCGAGAAAGTGTAATAGGATTATGGATGTTGGGCCGCGTATAACGGCTTGCTATTACACATGCGCCTATGGAAGCGACTGCAACCACTTCACATAGACATGTGTTACTTTTAGCCGTAGCCATACGTTTTGGAAGCGGCATTCTTGATGGCCATGACATTCATAATGACTGTGACGTCACTGGTTTTTATAACCTTATTACAATTGGTACTTAATGTCAAACTAACAATTATAACACCTAGCAGACAGCGGCATTGGTGAACAAATACGCATTGCATTTTTACCAACGACCAGAATTGTTAAAATGGTAAAAGTATAGTTAGCCCATCGCATGGAATCGCCATTATTTGGGTGAACGTAAAGGCCACGCGTGCAAAACGAGGGCTCTTGCGCGTCCTTGCTTTACGTCGTGCGTTGCTTGACTCCATGCACTGTGACCGAATTTAAGTGTGGACTGTATTTCGACCCAATCGTGAACTGAGCAACGGCCAAACTAAACGAGGACAGTCATGTCACGAAGCTGCTTAGCTCTAAAAACAATCATATCTGCTGGTCCCAGACGGCCAGCCTTGTATCATCTTGTACCTATTAACTGACTGACGACTCCCCGACTGACTGACTGTCACTTGTGAGCCGGGCAGTACTATCGTATAGGATTACCCAGTAACGCCAATGAATGGGCTAAATCCAGCAATTTGAGTGAAGAGCCATTCTGTGAATAGAACTGTGAATGTCCTGAGCTCTGGACCAGCTTTACTGGGATTGCCGTGTCCTCTTTTTTTTTACGAGAAATACACGTTATCAGCAGAAATGTCAGCCGAATTCATATAATTATTTTGTGACCAGTTCTGAGCCGACTATTGACACTGTATCTGCTAACTAAATGGTCGTCCGCTTTGCTTTACTCGGTGGAATTGGGCCCTGAAGCTACACAGCATTCAGGTCAAGCACTGGTCAACTGGTCCAAATCGAGTATGGTAATAGACTGACCACTGATTAAAGGGGCGGTCACTCCGGAGGGGACATGGGACTAAAGACCGTAACGGGAGATCTCGCTTACTCATCCCATGTACACCGGATATCTGCCCGATATCTGCCCGCAACCTACCCGGTAGCACAACGCTGTCATTCCTTCGGGTACTAGCTCGCTGAAACTGTACACAAAAGTGGGTCCATCCTGGGGTGTTTAAGCTCTACAACACACGAAGACAGTATCCGTACCCAGAAAACCCAGATTAGTATCTCAGGATGCTAGCTAGATCGTCTTGCCGGTATCCCTGGCCCGAGTTTTGTTCCTGCCTCCGCGATTAAGACAACAAGATGGAACCAGATCTCCCTTGAAATTACGCAAAACCCCGCGGATGATTCAGGATTCTCTCCCCCCCCCTCCCTCTACCCACGGGTTAAGGAGGTGGGTCCTTGGGGTTAGATGGAACAGCAAGTGGGTGTATACAGGGTATTCGTTAATTACCGCACCCCGGTCAACAACGGGTATTAGTTACAATTCAATACCAATCATGGCCGGGTAATGAGGGTGAACCTGACAATCTCTCGATATTCAATCCACTTCCAATTGCAGACCAGAATGTTATCCCATTTTGACCACGGCATGCATGGATTAGCCTATGGGAATCTGACGCATAATCAAAGAAACTGGCCGAGCGCGTGCGATGTTAAGTGGTGCTTTGAGAGCGCCCTCTTGCGACTGAGCTAACCGAAAAAGATCAGTACATGTACTCATCAATTGAGCTCAGAAAGAAAGAACCACTCCTTAAGCTACACGTAGTTTTGATGAAAAATTCAAGTGATTTTAATAAAATGCCTTATTATACTTTTACCATTGTCAACAAAGCTCACATCCCTCCTAATTACATATATTTTGGTGCAACAAAACTTACTGGTCACATTTTTTAAAGGGAATTTTCTGGTAGGAAAACGCAAATTAATTGTCTAGATCCGTCTGACATTAACATGTTCAAGAAATGTTCTTTAAAACCTCTTTAAGTTTGAAAAGATTGGAGGAACAAATTATACTTTCTGTCTCCTATTTACACTTATTTGATGAAAGACTATCGGTGCCCAATTACCCAATAAACAAAATTATCTCAAATTTAATTTCGATTGAATTTCGATGGACACGAGTGTACTACATTATACTTTCAATATTATTCACTATTTAAAAATTTTGCTTGAGTGCAAGACAAGTACAATGAAAGAAAAATCAAAAACAAATCACCCCCCTCCAAAAAAACCCCCACAAAACAAGAACAAAATCAAATAATTTCGATACGATGAAATAACACTTCCCTGGTGAAATGTGGAGCAGGCATACCAATAAAAAGACATACAAAATACAAAACATAAATGAGATCAACTGTGCACATACTTTTCATACATATGGAATCAGAAATATTAAAAGTCAATACCACTTGACATGAGAGACAAATCTATACGAAATAAAAGCTACATTATAAAGGAATGGTGGGAAGTGGTTAACCTTGTTAGTTTTCCAGTCCATAATTCCGATTTTCAAAAACTGTTTTGTCCTGGGCAAGCTGCTGAGCAGGGAGTTATATGCAATATAATACAAGTTACAGGGAACCAGTCAATGGAGATGCTTTTCACTTGACATTTTAGCCGGTAACCCATTTTTGATGAGCAAGTATTGCTGTGCTAAGCACAATTCTTTCCTAGGTCCCTTTCCCTAGTAAATTTTGACTTTGAAGATTTTGTTTTAGCTAATTTGTTTTTAACTCGCCTCGTACATCTGCAATCCTTTGAAGAAAAGAAAAACACTGCTATTTTGCGTTGCTTTTGCGCACAAACAGATTTGCCCTGCAAGTAGACTGGTTACCAATCCCCACATTATGGATCCTAAAAGGGAGGCAGGAATCAGTCTGCCCCACCTGAAGTAATTATTTCCAAAGCTGCAGATTACTCAAGATTATTACCGAACTCACTGAGCGGCCTTTTTTATTTTAGGGTGATGTCTGAAAACCTTTGTATTGCCATAAAAAATTGCAATTCGTTTTTTTTTTGGGGGGGGGGGGGGGGGGGGTGGGGAAGAAGGGTTTCAAACTCAAGAATAGCCTGGACAGTACACCTGTAACAACATACATTAGGCTCTGTGCTTGAATAATGGCTGCATACCTTACTGGTCCATTTTTAAGTTGCAAAGTACTTTTGATAAATAGACATACCACGATGAGACATAAACATTGCAGTTGGTCTTCATCAAAGCTCCGTCTTTTCAGAATTTACCTCTGCTGGACCCGAACAAACCTCTGCCAAGGAAAACAACGGACAGAGTGTGAAAAAAGTTGCACCCATTCAATGCTTAGGGCACAGTCCTGGCCAATCAGTGTCTTTCAAATATATTACAACCAGTTCGCGCTGACGTGTTAACACGCAAAGGTTCTGCTGTATTCAGAATGGATGACAGACAAACATGCAGCAAGGAGGCCGGCAATATGTGTCAGCAACACGCTCACAGTGAGCGAGGTCAGAAATATTAGGGTGTGCTACCACAGATCGAGGCTGAACCCATCAGGCAATGAGGTTCCTGAAAAATCCCGCGCCTACGTCCTGTCAATGTCAAGATATTCCTGGCGTGAACTGGTTAACCACTTTTCCAGCAGTTTATATTGATAATTACGTACTACTGGAAAAATGTCAACATTTTTTCCTTTCTGTATTTTCTTTTTGCCGGGGGGGTTCAGGGTGGCATGGTGCATAAGTGTGAGAAGGCGAGTATGGGGATGGGACAGCCTGGAAAGTCTAAGTGATGTCAAAATGACTGGAGTCAGGTGGAAGTGTGGACACACTTTCCTTTGACCACAGATAAACAATTCAGAGCTCTATCCAATTTTTCCTTTTGACTTGTTTCAGTGCCTCTGAACAATTAAATAAGAAAACAACCCATGAAATGGTCACTCACCTGCAACATCATTGCATATTAGCGTCTTTATATTAGGCTCTTTGGCTGTAAAGGTTTGCACAATCTCTTCTTCATACTCCTCCACAATATTACGACACTGTAGCCCAAAAAAAAACGAGTTATGCTGAATTCCTAGTTATCTAAGACTCTGCGGTGTTATTCAATTGTTAATGGCATACACATTGCTGCGTTTATTTCTTAGTTTGGATTACTCGCTCCTAAAACACAGAACTAAAGCACAGCAGCATTGTAATGAACCGACTTGTTATCATGGTGTCCATAAGGCCAGACAATTGGTCACAATTATTTCTTAATGGTTTATACATTTCAGGGGGTTAAAAATAATAAATGATTCATAAATCAAATGTTCCTTGGAGAAATCTACGGTCTTGAAACATGCAGAATGGAGAAGTTGACAGTTTCTGGTAAAAAAAAGATGACATTTGAATAACTTTGCCTTATATTCTCTTTTTTGGGTTAATCTCTCTTTTTTTGTGTTAATGTTTTGTTGTTATTATTTTGGTATCGGGGTGGATACACACCAAGAACTATGGAACTACCTAATTTTGAGGGTTTTCCTTTAAATGTCAATCAAGGGTTTCCTCGCACCCTCTAAAACTGTAATTTTTCTTTTTCTTCATCAATTTTTTTTAAATTTTATTAAGGTATATTTTCTTAAATCATTAAGATGAATAAAGAATATCACCTCATAGGTCAAAGACTTTCAAGGACCATCCCGGCAAACAAATCACATTAAATGAGTAAAATAACAAATATAATGGATGAGAACTTACAGCTACTTCTAATGATTTACTGATGTCTCGGTTGATAGACACGTTTGTCAGTTCCACAGGATCACCTTCTTTTCTGGCGTTGAAGCGCACATACTTCTTGAGCTTTGTCTCTGGGTCTGTGCTCTCTGCGTAGTCTTTCATCTTACTGCAGACATCGTCTAGCAACTCCATCAAGTGAACCTCAGAGCCTGCGTAGGGGATCTGGAGACAATGGGAGGGGAAATGAAATATCAGCAGCACTGCTTTAACCTTTATTGGCCAGCTCATACCACATGATAGTCAAGCAAATGTTGACATCATGAAACAGTCCCTACATAATTTGGGCGGTGGGGGGGGGGGGGGGCGGCTAGGGCAATTTCTTCCTATATGGAGTGTGGTTCAACGCTGAAGACATCATGGACGCTATTGGACATAGGTGGCGGTATTCATCCCAGCAGAAATGCCGATGGGCACACGATTTCGCCGACAACAGGACGATTTGCCGGTAAAGGGTATGCATGTCACGACCCCAATTTTGCATTTAAAATCCATTTTCGTCGTCCCGGTTTGCTTCTATCAGCATCCCCATTTTCTTTTTAAAATCTCTAGCCCATTGCACTAAGCCACTGTTTCCAAGTCAAAGCCTGAGTCCATAATATATGGACTGACTCCTACTACACTGGCAGGAAACCTGCAAGCAATGCAGTGTAAAAGAGTCAAAAGAGACGTAAAATATGACAAGTTTTTACTTCAACTTTTTCAAAATAAAATATGTTATCAGATTTTGTGTCTACTTTTATGTAGGCCTAGACCTAAATTACTTCAATGGGTTTTTATCTTAAAGCAGCAGCACAATCACCTTTGAGCCTTACCTACCTTCTTAACTTTCTGACGCCCCTGGGGGTCTATCCTGAAGCCCATTTCTAGGGTTTCAAGAGGGTCTACCTCCCCAATGGCATACTGGATCTCATCTACCAAAGCCTGGCATGCTGCAAAAATAACAACACAGGACAAAGAAAAGGGGGGTTAAAAATGTGGAATATTGCCCAATGAACAAGATGGCACATATTACCACAAAAGAGCTTATTTCTCATACCTCCGCAGTACAGTTGTAGGTCTCGCTTTGCTGTGGTTTCTTGGAGTATGATTAAACAGCTTATGATGAGGCCGACTGCAAAGCTCGGAATGTCCATCCTCCAAGGCACTGTGGAAACTGCTCCAAAACCGTCAGACCATGGGGGAACAAAATCCACTTTTAAATTATTTGACCTACCAAACTAGTTGGTGACACTAAGAACATACAGGTAGGGCTATGTCAAAGATAAAAGCATAGGCAGGGTTTTCAATTTTTTGAGGGAAATTTAGGGGTAAATTGACGACGGCAACGACACAACGCAACACCAAAATAAAGATGGCAATCACCGTGCGATGTACCGTGAACGTGCACGTGCAAGGCGCGCTGAATCGCACGGCACCAACTGTAAACCGCACAGGAAAATCGTAATTTCTACCCCAAGAAACTGTTTAAAAATTACAAAAAAGGTGTCATTAAGAGAAGGAAAGAATTCCATACAGGGCCACCACTCATATTCCTTTTTTTTTACCTGCAAAGTACCAAAGTTTGTAAATCTGATGAACAGGTGATGAAGAAACACATTTTCAGGAGTGCAAAAATTCTTTGAAACACTTAATTTTTTCCGTCATGGCCCATAGGCCATAGACTTTGTGCAGGAGGTCCGAGTGGTGGCCTTGTACTTGTATCATGTGTATGGAATTCTTTCCCTTGTATAATTTAAACGAAAGAAGGGAAAGAATGTTGCAACCTGAAGCCACTTCCGCGATGGTACAGCCATCCTCCAGGTGGAGTAGGCCCCCTAGTAAGTACTAGGAGTCAAGAAAATTTTCTAAGGATTTTGTAACAGTAACACTATACACTAACAGTATTATTTAGTGACAGCATGGAGGAATTCCTCCATGGTCAATGGTCGCAGTAACAACATTGGAAATGTTTCTCAGTACAGTTCCAGATTCATGTCTTATCGTTATTTTTTCAATGAATGAATTTTATTGAGATGATAATGAGGAACAAAGTGGCGTCAGGTTGCAACATATTTACCCTTTAATTTTCAGAAAAAAATAGTAAAAGATGACAATTTAACTTAAGGACACGTGTCTTTCCCCAACTTACCGGCGTTTTCGACCGTGTTTACTACCTTCGTCAGGACCCCGACTGTCATGGAACTTTTCAGTAGAAGATTTCCCTTCGCACACCGTGAAATGAACAGGGTACCAGATCACATTTGTAACACTAATCTTGAGGGCGCTATTGAACATTTGCATCAATCTCATTATCTGAGCTGCCCTCTATTTGCCGCACTTTAGCCTGTGCCCGTTTGAAAACAAAAATGCATTACTTTTTTGTTGAAATTAATTAAATAGATAAATCATATGTAGGCATTTTCCTTGGCATATTTATTTGAAATTAACCACCAGATCCCAGGTGTGGAAATTACGGCGTCTGGATACCCGGCGCTTCGGTACAAGTTGGACTTTTCAGTCGATTTAGTTTCAACTGGTGCCACCCTTCTTTTTAATGGGAACAGACCGCGTACACCCTCACATTTGTCACCAATAAAGGATCAGTTGTGATTACCCACTAGTATAATATCATAAGCATTTTCACTGTCGTCTGAAAGGCTCATTTCTCAAAAGAATGGACAATAAATAATGTTTGTAATTGAACAAACATTCGCCGAACAATTATTCAGTCCGGGCATATACAAATTTGCTTGTAAACCGTACCTCCACACGAAAACACTAACATTATCAGCCTTGCCACCCCCCCCCCCCCCCCCCCCGCGGATTTTTTTGGACAAAAAATATTTCAATAAAATGGTTAGAGAGTTCTGACATCAGAAAAAAAGCATGTCTACATTTTGGCGTGGATGTGCAGTTACCCCCCCCCCCCCGACATTAAAAGCTAGTGATACGCTGCTGGGTTAGAGGGGGGATAGAAAGCCCCATATTGGAAATTTTGACTTCGGCAAAAGCAAATAGATCAGTGGCTTCACTTGAAAAATTGTTCCCCCCCCCCCCCACCCGCTTCGAAGTTTTACCCTAGTTATGCCGCGCGGGCTGTCCGCATCTATAACTAGAGATAAAAAGTGGCAAATACTCAACGATGAGGGCAGTATGTCAATTTAACTGTAAATGCAGAACAAATACATTAAGTCTGGTTAACACCCAACGATGGGAGACTGGTCTGGGAGAAAAGTCGCGGAGAAATATCCCAGAAAGATAAACGAAGGAAATAGCTGGACCACTCGAAACCCGATAGGTAAACGGGCGGTGCTTGATGAGGAATAAACCGGGGAATCGGCCGCCAATGTTATAGTTTGGGACGGCGCGTGCAGACGTCAAACAACTTTCATAACAGAGCAAAAGACTGTGCTGATAGGCTGATTATTTTATTGGTTTTCCTCTAATTTCCTAATGATAATTATTCTAGCATTAAAATACCACTGAAAGCATCCCTGGTGTGTTACATCTAGGATATGGAAGTTATTAACCTTTCTTTTAGTGCAATATCTTTCACATCACTCATGTTCTTTAAAGTTACAGAATTTTAAACACAACCACCGTAATTATGCACACAAAATAATTATCAAGCTATGAGCAATGAACACAGCAAACGGTTTGGGGTGTAGACATGGCTGCGCCGCGAGCGCTTTCCATGCTCACATGCGCAAATTTGACCGTAAATTGGCCTAAAAAGTCAGCAAACAAGTTACCAAAACGCCTAGTTGCTCCCACGAACATAGTGGTCAAACAAGAAGATAGTGACCACAAGCTCCGAGTCCACGCCAGGTGACCACAGTAACGAACGCGCGTGCATGCATACTATACAAAGAACATGTGTTCAATCTGCTATTCTTACGTACCCAATGTCTAAAACACATGTACACCGAAAGTAACTTGTCTAATTTTAACCGAAATACTATATTACCTAATTGTCTTTGAGGACTCTACATAAAACAGAATAAAATCAAAGCAGAATAAATTCTTCACTCGTCTACACGTCAGTATCAAGCTCTCTGGTAATTTCCAGTAAATCAAAATCACTCACTAGACTGGTCATTATAGTCACTGCATCCAAATCAGATTTGACTAATTGTAGCTCCCTGTATCAGATTTTACTCGATTTCAGCATAAAAATCTCTAATTTACTCAATGTCAACAAAATCATCTAAGCCGCTGCAAATGTCTCTGAGCATACAAAGCCAACGTTAGCCACACTCTTTAAAAAAGGCTTACGATTCTCTACAAAACCACTAAAATTTACTTAAAATCTAAAACTAACACAAGCGCTGTAAATGTTACTTGTAAAAATGTCTCTGAGCATACAAAGCCAACGTTAGCGACACTCTTTAAAAAAGGCTTACAATTCTCTACAAAACCACTAAAATTTACTTAAAATCTAAAACTAACACAAGCGCTGTAAATGTTACTTGTAAAAATGTCTCTGAGCGTACAAAGCCAACGTTAGCGACACTCTTTAAAAAAGGCTTACAATTCTCTACAAAACCACTAAAATTTACTTAAAATCTAAAACTAACACAAGCGCTGTAAATGTTACTTGTAAAAATGTCTCTGAGCGTACAAAGCCAACGTTAGCGACACTCTTTAAAAAAAGGCTTACAATTCTCTACAAAACCACTAAAATTTACTTAAAATCTAAAACTAACACAAGCGCTGTAAATGTTACTTGTAAAAATGTCTCTGAGCGTACAAAGCCAACGTTAGCGACACTCTTTAAAAAAAGGCTTACAATTCTCTACAAAACCACTAAAATTTACTTAAAATCTAAAACTAACACAAGCGCTGTAAATGTTACTTGTAAACATGTCTCTGAGCATACAAAGCCAACGTTAGCGACACTCTTTAAAAAAAGGCTTACAATTCTCTACAAAACCACTAAAATTTACTTAAAATCTAAAACCAACACAAGCGCTGTAAATGTTACTTGTAAAAATGTCTCTGAGCATACAAAGCCAACGTTAGCGACACTCTTTAAAAAAGGCTTACAATTCTCTACAAAACCACTAAAATTTACTTAAAATCTAAAACTAACACAAGCGCTGTAAATGTTACTTGTAAAAATGTTTTAACATCTAATGATTCTCTGATGTAGACTCTTGCTTTTTAGGGCAAAACCAACGCCCCCAACTCTCTATCTCTCTCTCTTAATTTGAGTCTTCGATTTTAGCATTCAATTCTCTAAAATACTGTCTGCTACAGTTTGTCATGGTTATCTAAAGTTGTGCGCTGCCTCTACATAAAGATGTTCTTCCTTGTAATATCCCCTTAGAGTAAAATGTATGTCTATTTGGGAAATATAAAATAATCCATCAATGTCTATGCTCTCCTTTTGCTTTTATGTAATAGAATTATCTATAATCGACATTCCTATTGCTTTCAAATGTCTGGAGAAATGGAAATTCCTTTGGGCAATATTGAAATCAGCCCACTAAATCTTTTTCTAAATATTAGCATAATAAACAATTGTTTAAAAATCCTCCTTACTGTATTGGCTGTCTTGATTATTTAAAATAAAGTTAGTGTACAGACTGCTTGTAACTCTTGGTTCGATGTCTAGACATATAATTCTAACTTCATTACTCCCAAAATTACGATGTTCTCGCTTAGTTTATGTAATATTGACTCTAAAAAAAAGACCTGTTCAACATTTGTTCTGTTGTTTCATATAAGCACGAATAGATCATTATTGATTTCTTTTTAGCAAGACTACAATCGATAGCACTAAGCCTCTCTGATCTGACGCAGTAACATTCTAAAAATCCTCTACAACTACAAGAATAACAAGTTTCATATCTGTGATGGACGCGATATCTGTTATACGCCTTTTGTTTTAATATTTACGCTTAGCTAGCCCCGCACCACTAATTGTCAGTTTCACTGCAATAACACTGCAATCAATAACATGGCAAATGTACTTAGTTGTTAGCAAATTTTAAATGATCACTTCAAACCCACATAACACACACAAATTGTTAGCAAATTGGATTTCACTTCAAACCCACATAACACTGCACATAGTACTCGTAGGAACTTTATATGGGGTATCAATCCAGCTAGGAAAATGATGACTACTAAACATAAATGAGTCTACGTGAACAGTTTTAAACTACCATTACAATTACTTGGCCAAGTGGAAAGCAGGCCTTCATAATATACAGGGTGGGTTTGTTTCCAATAAACCTTTTACAGGGCGAGTTCAAAAAAGCGGAATCCAAACCCAAAGAAATATGTATTTCGTATTAAAAAAATATGTAACACCAAAATAATATGACTCCAGAAGTCCATTCATTACACGACTTTCAGTACGAAAATTATTTCAATATTGCTCCACACGTTAAAATGTTATCAGTAATAAATTAAGTAACCTTAAAATCAGTTTTGTATTAAAAAAAAATCAATTTCTGTGTGTGTTCTGACGTTTGGAACAACGTAGAAAATATACAGAATACTTGTTTTAATAACTGTATAGTACACAATATCTTTATTAACAACCCTGCTTGGGCTATCAATATGATTTATAAATCCACCTTTTCAAAGGGCGGGCCTTCAAAAGTACTTTAGTGAATATTTTCAACTTTTAAACTGAGGTTTTATCGCAGGTAATGTTTGAAAACAATTTATACGATATTGAAATCGCATTTTTTTAGGGGACAAAACCGATTCTAGGGTCATTTCGTTTAAATGGTGATATACTTTTAACGGATTCAGCAATTAAATCATTTTTTTTTTCATCTAAAAGTAGCTTATTGCCAGTCATCATTATTTTTGGTGCCACATATTTTTTTTTTTAAATATGAATTATATTTCTTTGGGTTGGGTTCCACATTTTTGGACTCCACCCTGAAGAGGGTGTATTAGAAACAAACTGTCCACACCAAATCACGCAACAGCAAGAAAGTATATTATTCCTACGGATCCTGATTGGGAGTATTCTTACGTGAATATATTTACTTGCACCGGTCAAGCAAATCATACATGATGTCAATGTCAGCCTGGTTAAATGCCTGACTGATTGTGATGACATCGTCAGATCATTTCTCACAGGGAAGACTGCCTATACATGGGGAACCAGGGAAAATAGGTTCTGGGTTCCTTGATTTGGCCTGGACGTTTGTTTTTTCTGGGACACCCTATATGGCGTTCATTCTGGACGCACCGTTCTACAAGGGTGT